CTGCATTTTCTTCTAGGAGTTTTATCGTTTTAGGTTTTACATGTAAGTCTTTAATACATTTTGAGTTAATTTTTGTGAGTGGTATAAGATAGGGGTGTAAGATAGCTTCATTCTTTCGCATTTGTACTTCCAATTTTCCCAGCACCATTTATTAAAGAGACTATCCTTTCCCCATTGTATGTTCTTGGAACCCTTGTCAAAAATTTGTTGACAGTATATGAATGGGTTTATGTCTGGGCTGTTAATTCAGTTCCACTGGTCTATGTTACTGTTGTTTTTTTATGCCACTACCATTCATTTTGATTACTATAGCTTTGTAATGCAGCTTGAAATCAGGTAGTATGAGGTTCTTATACTATTCTCCTTTCTTAGAATTGCTTGGGCAATTCAGGGTCTTTTGTGGTTCCATATAAATTTTAGCATTTTTTTTTTTGTATTTTGTGAAATATGCCATTGGAATTTTCATAGTGTATTGAATTTGTATATTGCTTTGAGGTGTATGGCCATTTTAACAATGCTAATTCTTCCAATCAAAATACACAGGATATCTTTCCATTTATTTGTGTCTACTTCCATTTTTTATTTTTTTAATCAATGCCTTATACTTTTCAGTGTATAGGCCTTTCACCTTTTTGGTTTAATTTATTTCTAAGTATTTTATTGTTTTTGTGCTTTTGAAAATGGCATTGCTTTTAAAATTTCTCTTTCAGATAATACATTGTTAAGGTATAAATACAAATTATTTTGTTACAGAACCTAGTGAACCATTCAAATCTAAAATGTGAATACAAATACAAAATTGTTTAAGATACCACTTAAAAAAGAAAAATAACAGACAAAAAAACAAGAAGGAAACCATAATTTATGTAACTTCTCAAAGATAAGCACACGTCAATAGATACTAAGATTACCCCAATACCTATACTTGAATAAGTGATACCTTTTTGTTAAGCATAAAATCATGTCTATTTAAACTAATTTCATTACTCATAAAAGTTCTACATAAAATGTCATATGTCATAAGGGGAAAACTTTACTATTGTGGTTGCTATGTAGATGATTAATTGATGATGTTAGTGGTAGGATTTTAACCAAAACATATTAAAGATAAGGTAGGAAAAAAATGACAATTCATCAGAATAGGTTTAATTTATTTAATGGCAAATTATATTGTACAGCATTAATAATGCTGTGTAGGTGAAACAATTTTATCTAGCCTGTCAACAATGATGATTTACTAATACTAGTCCTGAGTAAATGGTCATTTTTGAGTCCTGTAGAGGATTGGTCTCCAGTGACATTTTGTTTTATATACCAAACAAAATGTCACAGATAAAAACTAAATTAGATAAAGTCATTTTAAGAATGTGACACTAATTTTGATTGTGTGTATAAGTTCAAGCTAAATTTGTTTGAACTGCTCTTTGACTATATAGTTCAAATATTTAAATCAGCTGCTTTCTAAAATTCAGGGTCTTAACCATAATCTCACAAAGACTTCCTTTGATATCTAGACTTAAATAAAAAAGAATTTACAAATTCTCAGTGTATACTGAACAGGAAACTTTGTAAAACAGTAATAAATGAGAGGAATTGTTTGGTTTTAAGACAAAGCAAAGCCTTGTAAACCTAAGAGCTGGAAAAACCTGCCAATAGAATCACAGTTTTAAATGTGAGTCTTTGTTGAAGTGGTAAATTAAGGGAAAAAAGGGTTTTAAATCGGTTTATTAGCCTTTTTGTTCACTTCAGTTGACTACTAGCAGTAGAAGCAGCAGAAAGGAAGATAAATTAAGTAGAATGCACTGAAAAGAATTCACTATAAAAAAAATTCACAGTGAACAGGAAAGTACAGAGAATTTCTCTTCTTAAAAAACTAAACAAAGCAAAAGATAAAAACAAACATACAAAAACTATATCATATATCATGAAAAACAAGTCAGCAGAAGAATGTTTCAAAGCCAATTTTACTTTTATAATTCATAGCAAGCAGAATAGAATGTAAGCTTTGGTTTAGTTCTCTGCATTAAAATGATCAACAAGAGAGAGAAAGAAAAGGCAACTGTCTTAATTCTACAACCATATGTCTGTCCTCTACCACTCTGTATTTTGAATAATATTATGGACTAAATGCCCTCCCCAAATTCATAAGTTGAAGCCTAACCACGAAAGTGACTGTATTTGGAAGTAAGGCCTTTAAAAAGGTAAATACATTTAAATGATATCATAAGGGTAGGGCCCTAATTCAAGAAGGGGAAAAAATACCAGGAATGAGTGTGCACAGAGAAAAAGGCCATGTGAGGACCCAGTGAGAAGGTGGCCATCTGCAAGCCAAGGAGAGAGACCTCAAGAGAAATCCACCCTGCCTGCACCTTATCCTGGACTCCCAGCCTCCAGAACTGTGAGAAAATAAATTTCTGTTCTTTAAGTCACCCAGTCAGTTGCATTTTGTTATGGCTATCTTAGATGACTAGGGCTATTTTTTAAAATTCCAAAGTGTATAAGCATAAAATCAAGAAAAAATGTTAAGTAATAACTGTTATTTGAAAGTCAGGCTTCTGGTAACTCAAGAATTTGAACTAATTATCTTCTGGGGCTTAAATATCTCATATGTTTTGTTTATACCCCCTAAAGAATAGAGGCAGGGCCCAGAGGAATGAAAACCAGCACCACGGCGGGTAATCAGTAATAATTGTACAAGTACCCTGACAGACAGAGCTGTGGCAGTTCAATACCCCTCAGCCCGAGAGAAGAGCAGAAGCAGAAATTGTTCCCTTGATTTGAATAAGGAAATGGAAATGAACATCAGCTTGTGTGATTTGAATAGATGCTTTTTTGGATCATTATAGGAGGAGTTTGTTTACATACCTGAAGTATCGAGCTTTGAAAAGACTGGTGGTTAAATTTCTTCAAGATAAGTACATTGAATGTACTGACAAGTACATTCAAATGTTCTGTTAATGTTCTACAATGCATAATTCTAAATTAAACCCATCACATTTTCTCTTTCCTGTAAATTCTAGTACAGCACATAGCACACTTGCCCCTATATTTTAGCTTTTTACGCGTGTCTTATGCTCATGGTAAAATATAAGTTCCTAGGCAACTGGGCATTTCACATGCTTATTGTTGCTTACACACTTAAAGTAAGGTCATACACGGTTGGATTCTCCATAAAAATTTATCACATAATAGAGCTCTGCAACAGATGAGGTATTCACAATGAAGTGATACTGTAGTAGGATTATGGGCTCAATACTCTAATTCATATCATTGAAATGAGATATATGTACTATATTTTCTGGTGGGCAGTTGTTGGTATATAAAAAATAAAACTTGTTTTTTAGACATCCTATAAAACAAATATATCTTTGCTAACTTTTTAGACTTTAAAAATAAAACAACACCATTTATCCTGTAGACAGTTTTACAATATTGATGCAATTGTTTGATTTTGATCAGGTTTGCCAGCTTCTGGCAGGTGCTTCGAAAGCAACATTTAAGAAGACTCTAGCTAGATTGACTACTTTCATATGTACAAATGCTTCAGGCTTCCCTAAAATAACCTCTTAGAAATTTCATCACTATTTATTTGAGATGTACACAGCACTGACTAATATGTGGATGATCAAATTCTGTTTTTCTAAAGGCAAAATCAATATCTTTTGATCTATGAAAGATTATTTCAAAAAATAAAGGTGGAACAGCAAAATATACAGAGAGAAGTATGTGTTTCTAGTGCATCCTAATGTTTAAAATTATTTTGGGGGGTAAATCTTATTTTATCTTAAATCTCATAACTTATTTTGCTTGAAGGCAGATGTGTTTTATTAACTAAGAGGCCACTGATCAGTATACCCTTTATTGTATAGTTAAGGGGCCAATGAAAATTACTTTCAAGAAAGAGCTTTTTCCAATTACAAAGCATTTATTCACTACTCATTTAGAGACCCTGGGTTCACCATTCTTCTCTATAGAACATCCCATAGTTCCCGGGAGAATGGAAAGCACATATATAGTAACAGCTCAAATGTTTGTGAATGAGAATGAATAATAAAGGTTTATCATGCTCCTTAAACATCAATAATGGATACATTAAGTTCAGCATGTTCTGTGTAATAAGATACTGGAACAAAACAAAAAAAGTGCTACTTAGACTTCCACAAGAGAGATGAATAATTAAAGATAGCGTTGCTACCAGTAAGAGAATAAAAAGTCAAGTCATAAACTGGGAAAATAATTCACAAAATTTAACCAGCGGAAGACTTGTATAGAGAATACATAAAGAACTTTTACATACTGATAGGAAAAATATGAACAACTCTCTTTCAAACATAGGCAAAAGGCTTAAATAAGTCTTCACAGAGGAAGATACCCAAATGGCCATTGATTATATTAGTATGAAAGAAGATACTTAATATTATTAACCAACAGAAAAATTAAAATTAAAACCCAAAATGATAGCACCATCATCTATGCGAATGATCATATCAAATGTTGGTGACAATAGGGAGCAACTGGGTCATTTATGCATTGCTGGTGGTAGTGTAATTGGTACACGCACTTTAGACAACTCTTGGGCAGTACCTACAAAGGTTAAACAAACACATGCCTACCCTGTGACCTAGCAATTCCACAACTAGATAAACACCCAGGAAAAATTAGTACATCTATTCTACCAATGCACAAGAATGGGG